AGGAGTTTATTGAGACAAGTTGATAGTTAGTTCATAGTAAGAAATGGTCCCCAAACTAAAGTGTGACCATAATAGGTTCTAGACGTTTTAAACATTTTTACACAAGACCGCCAAGAGCCAGTCTTGGTCCTAAAAGATAAAGATATGCAGCTATGGAATTCTGTGCGCAATCAATAAAGTTCCATCTCAATTACTCGTATAGAGAGACAGAGGCTTCATTGACAGACGTACAATGAATAAGCTGCTGTGTTGGATTTTCTGAGGCTATAAATATATTAGACCAAACTGTGTCCCACTAGAGTTCCAGGCCAGTTTCATTATTGGTCGGATTACTTCAAATAATTAAAATCCATGTGACACAATTCGGAAACAAGAAATTACGAAAGCCTGTTTTTTTCTGCCTAAATACAAAATAAAATTTAAAAAAGCAACTTTAAATATTCCCAGTGTGACTGTTTTTCATAATTGCAACTCGCAATCTCACAATTGTGTCTTTGTTTTCTGCAATTGCCAGATTTTACCTCTCGCAATTTACTAAGAGCTTACACCAGCATAAACCCCTTTTGGCATTCAAAAACTACTGCCAGGATTTAGACACGCAGTGAAAAATTAGCAATGAAAAGGCATGGACAGCTATTTTTCCGGCTGACCTTATTGTACATGCTTTTGTAGGAAATTTATGGGAGGAGAGTAGGCCTATTTAAATGAATCATGCAAGGTTTTTACTATGAATCATGCAAAGCCAATTTACTGGTATTTTGCATTATTATTTAATGACCAAAAAAGCTTTAACCTATTTTGAGTCTGTGTTAGTAAATTACCCGCACCTGATTGTCACTCCGATGCTTTCGTGCCCTTTCAGTCTGATCAAGGTGCCCCCCGGACCTCGATTGTGCCCTCGTAACACTATTTCTCCCTCCCCTGCCCCTCTGGAGGTCTGTGCACGCCACTGGTTGCAACTTGCAACTGTACCTCGCAACTGTGACTTTGTTTCCAGCAAAAGGGAACTTGGGTCTCTGCCAGTTTGACTTTATATCTCAAAATGTTACTTCACATGTCGCAATGCAATTTTATATCTTGCTAAATGGCTTTAAATCTTGCGGTTGCGACTGACAATGTTGCTTTATATCTCGCAATGTAACTTTTTCATAATTGCAACCCTACATCTCTCCCAATTTTTACCTTTTATCTCACAATGTTACTTCACATCACAATGCAACTTCATGTCCTGCAAAGTGAATTTAAGTCTTCCAATTGCGACTTTGTTTCTCATAGTTGCAACTTTTTAACTCACAATGTGACTGGTTTTCTTTATTGCAAAATCTCACTACTGTGACTTTCTCGCAAACATATCTCTCCCAATTTTAACTTTGCATCTCAAAATGTTACTTCATGTCATAATGCGACTTCATAGGGAGTACAGGTCTTGCAGTTGAGGCTATGTCTCTTGTAGCTGCGACTTTCTATCTTGTGACTATTTCTCGCAATTGCAAACGTCTTTCCCAATTTTGACTTTGTATCACAATGCTACTTTATGTCACAAAGCGACTTTATATCTTTAAAGTGAGTTTAAAGGGTTAGTTCACCCAAAAATGAAAATTAGCCCATAAATTACTCACCCTCAAGTCATCCTAGGTGCATATGACTTTCTTCTTTCAGACGAATCCAGTCAGAGGTATATTAAAAATTGTCTTTGATCTTTCAAGCTGTTTAATGGACCTCAGCGGGTGTTGTATGCATCAGTCCAAAATAAGTTAAATAAAAAGCTCCCATCCATAAAAAAAGTGTCTCACGCGGCTTCGGGGGGTGAACAAAGGCCTCCTGTAGCGAATCGATGCGCTTTTGTAAGAAAAATATCCATATTCAAAACGTAATAATCACTTTAATGTAGCTTGCGCCAACAGTCCTACATGGAAGCAGCTCCGGGCGGATGATGAGGTCAGCGTTGCGCACGCACCAGTGAGTTTCGTGAAAACCAACATTTGTTAACAGGAGCAAAGGAAGCAAAGTTTCCTTACTTTAGCAAAGGAAAACCAGTCTCCTCTTGGCTTATATCGAAATCCTCCGACATTCTTCTTTACAAATCCTCGTTTTGTACTTCTAATAAGTGACCTTTGTTTTGTTACGATCTCTCCGCTTCGCTTCCGCGTTCGTCACTTCTGAGCGGTGCTTGCACAAAGCTGACCTCATACGTCATCCGCCCGGAGCTGCTTCTGTTTACAACAGTGAGCGCAAGCG